ATGTGGAGTTTTCTCACTTTTTCCCTCTCTTCTCTTCCAACGTGAGAAATAATTGAACAATGGGGAGAAAATTTGATTTTCTCCCCTATTTATACCCTTAAAGTGCTTGGTTCACAACGCGTCACACGTTCCATATTCTCGAATCCGTTTTTACCCCGAAACGATTTAAATTTTGCCCCAGTTCAAGTTCAAAATATTTTTATTTCAACTTGCTTTAAATTATTTTCTAAATTTTGAATTTTATTAAAAATTTCATTTTTTGGGTCACTTGAGACCCAATTACTTCGTAAAATGCAAAAAATTCGACTATCTCAAAATTTGACGAAATTTGTCTATGTACCTAGATTTCGCAGGACGAACCGAATGGTGAGGACCATTTTATAATCTGAATTCTAGAAAAATTTAGATTTTCAACACGTACTAAAATAACAATTTACCATTTTACCCTTTTTCATAAAAAGTTCAAATTTTTATGGGTTTTACACATTTTTTGATGATTTTAGCAAAAAAAGACCCAAGTGTCTACTTTGAAAAATAAATCTGATGTCTATGATATATTTAAATATTTTAAGGCTTATGTTGAAAGGCAGAGTGGAAGAAAAATTAAAGTTTTGAGGACTGATAGAGGTCAGGAATATATGATTTGTGATGATTTTTTGAGACATCATGGTATTAAACATCAGTTGACAGTCAGATATACTGTCCAACAGAATGGTATGGCAGAGAAAAAATAAAACTATTATGGATATGGTTAGATGCATGTTGAAATCTAAAAATATGCTTAAAAGTTTTTGGGTAGAAGCTGTTGCTGGTGCTATTTATGTTTTGAACAGGTCCCCTACCAAAAGTTTTAAGGAAAAAACTCTATGATATTTAGAGTGGTCAGAAGTCAGGTATTTAGCATTTGAGGGTGTTTGGTTGTATTGTCTATGCCCATGTTCTTGATCCACTTAGGAAAAAGGTTAAGGGTACGGCTGAAAAGTGTATTTGTATTTGGTACAATTCAGTTACAAAGGGGTACAAGTTTTATAATCCTATCACAGAAAAAATGATTATTAGCAAGGATGTCACTTTTAATGAGCAGGGTGTTTGAGATTGGTCTCAAAAGGAGGACAAGTCAGCCACACTTGTTCCTTTTGATGTTGATGATTCAGTTGGTAATCAACCAATTAAATAGTCCACAGGTGTTCAATCCCCACAACCAAAGTCATCTAGGTGTTCACAGCGTGAACGATAAATTGGAGGATTATGTGATTGACACTGACAGCGATCCTTCATATAAGGATTTCGTAAATTTTGTTTTATATGCAAATTGTGATCTTGTGTCTTTTATTGATGCCTGTAGGGAGCAACATTGGGTGAAAGCAATGGATGAAGAAATTCATGTCATTAAGAAAAATAATACATGAAAGCTTAGTTCTCTTCCCACTGGAAAGAAAACTATTGGAGTTAAATGGGTGTACAAGACCAAATACAAGCTAAATAGAGAGGTGGATCGCTTCAAAGCGAGGTCAGTTGCCAAGGGTTAAAAACAAAAACTAGGTATTGATTATCTTGAAGTTTTTGCTCATGTTGCTAGGCTTGATACTGTTCGTATGACTATTTCTCTTATTGCTAATAATTCTTGAAAAAATTTTCAAATGGATGTGAAATCTGCTTTTTTGAATGGTGTCCTTTGAGGAGGAAATTTATGTTAAGCAATCTACTGGTTATGTGAATAAAGGGGAGGAAAACAAAGTCTATAAGTTGAAAAAGGCTTTGTATGCGCTTAAACAAGCCCCTAGAGTTTGGTATACTCGGATTGATTCTTATTTTATGGAGAATAGTTTTTAGAAATGTCTCTATGAACACACTTTATATGTCAAAATTAATTCTCAGGGAGATATTATTATTATGTGTTTGTATATGGAGGATCTTATTTTCACAAGGAATAATCTGAAGATAATTGACAATTTCAAGGAGGCAATGATTTCTCAATTTGAGATGCTTGATAAGGGTTTGATGTCCTATTTTCTTGGAATTGAGGTCAATCAGATAGACAGTGAGATTTTTATTTCCCAATAGAAGTATGCTAGGGATATCCTTAAACGGTTCATAATGGATTCTTGTAATCCTATTTTGACTTTGGTTGAAGAAAGATTAAAATCGAGTAAAGATGAGAATGATGAGTTGATGAATCTCACATATTTCAAACGATTGGTGGGAAGTTTACGTTATTCAACTTCCACTAGACTTGATATTGTTTTTGGAGTTGGCCTCATTAGCAGATACATGGAGTTTCCACGTCAATTCCACTTGCAAGCAGCAAAAAGGATTTTGAGGTATGTTAAAAGTACTCAAAGTGTGATATTTTTTATTCTCCTACTGGTTCTTGTGAACTTGTAGGGTATATAGACAGGGATTGAGGAGGTGATGTGAAAAAAGCCAAAAATACTTTAAGGTATTGTTTTCAAATTGGTTCAGGAATTTTTTTCTGGTCTTCAAAGAAACAACAAGTTGTTGCTCTTTCTATCATTGAAGCAAAGTATAATGCAGCCGCTAGTTGTACTACCCAAGTAGTGTGATTGCGTCGTATACTTGGATTTTTGTAGCATGTACAAAAAATTCTTTCATAGATTTTTTGTAATAATAAGTCAGCTATTACTTTGTCAAAGAATCCAATTTTCAGACCAAGCATATTCATGTCAAGTACCATTATATTTGTGACTTGGTTATTGATGATGAGATTGAAATTTTGTATTGTCAATCTGATAATTAGATTGTAGATATTTTTACCAAGTCACTTAAATCCGATGCATTCTTGAACCATAAACCGATGATGATGATAAAGATGATCAAGATTGAAGAGTTTAGTTCAGGTGAGGTTGTTGGAGTTTGACCCAAACTTTCATAATATTTTATTCCTTATTTATTTGGTATTAGTTTATAATTAGAGTTTTAATAGATTTAGAATTATTGACCCATAAAGTATTTTAATTAGTTTTAAGTAGTTTAATTAAAGTTAATTTAGGGTTAGTTTATTAATTAAAGTTTTTAAGTCTTCTTGATCGTCTTGCTGCGAGCTTCGGCTTGCTTTGTCTTCTTCTTTAAGTTTTTCTTTATTTCTCCCGGAAAAAGAAAAGAATTATCGAATCACTGTGCGTGCTGGTTTCACCAGAAGAATAAAGTAATGTTAATTATACTTTACCCCCTTAAAGTATGAGGTCTGTGTCATTTTATCACCTCAACTATCATATTTTGCAATGGTACCTTTAATTATAGTTATTAGTTTCACTTTACCCCAATGAACAATCCATATTAGAATTTTGATGGTAGTTGTTTTATTTTGCTCCCTGAACTATGTTATTTTGTTTTACTTTGCTTGACACGTTGATATTTTTCATCAAAAAGATAACGGATATTTGCAATTTGGGGGCAATATGAACAATTTAACATCTAAGGGGATAAAATGACACAAGCTTTATAGTTTGTGGGGGCAAAGTGTAAATAAGCTATAAAGTAAAGGTTTATTGTGAGAGAGAAGAATATCTCACACACTTAAATATTCATCTTTGCAACTTATTGTGGGAAAGTGAATTGCAATGCTACTCAAAATGGAAAGAATCAGTCGGTGGCTCTCACGCCTATATTGTGCATTGATCGCAAGGACTCTCTATTACCATTTCTGCTGTACTATATCTACAGTAATCGTCTCGGGTAATTTTGCTATCCTTGGTCTGTTTCTAATGGAGTGTTCATGGAGCTGGCTTGCTTCCTGCTTAAACTTTTTGGTTTTTTTCATTTTGTTTTTTTTTTGGGGGAATTATAATGTTTAGGTCTGGTTTTTAGCTACGGCTTCGTAGAGACTGCAGTGGTGCAAGTTCTGGTGGATTACATTTCCGATCAGTTGGGGGATACAGAAGGTCTTCGCATACATGCGGCAATTGTGAACCTAATGGATGGACTGTGCTCGGTTTTGATCATTGTTGTAGCTTACCTGGCAGATACCTGCATAGGTCGTTTCAGAATGGTCTTGCTTTGCAGTGCTGCCTATATCGTTGTGGGTGCCGATCCATACATTTCGCCTTATACTATTTATTTTAACCATGATGGCCTCCATCTCTCTCTCTTTCTCACACACACACCCACAAACACACATTTCTGAATATTTTTACTACTGTGTGATAATTATTTTAACTACTTTTCTTTAGTATAATAAAAATTATTATTCTTGCGGGTGATTTATCACATTTGTGAAATTTTTACCATTGTTATGAATATTTTTATCACAGTTGTGGTAATTATTTTTTTCATTTTATTGTAAAATAACTAAATTAATTGAACATAAAATAAATAACACAAAATTGAATTAGAGAAATGTTATATTTATTTTACTTTACACCTTTAATTATAAATTTTTTCATATTACACCTTAAAATATTAATTTTGTTTCATATCATTCCAATAAATAATGACAAACTAGAAAATCTGGCACAAGATGGAGGGAAACCCAAAACTTTCCATCAAGTTTCTTGTACCACTTTATTTTACCTCTTTTCCAACCAAATGGTTGTTGCGAGGAAAATGAAGGTCGGCCAGAGGAAAAAAATTTAGAGTTTAGGAAAGAAAAAGTCATGGATGAGTATTTTTCTTAATTTTTGACCTACATATGTGTAATAGGTAGTTACTTATGAGCAGTATAAACCACTCGCATGCGTATTTATCGTAAAAAAATTAATCGTTATCTACTAGAGTGATATAAAATAAAATTTATATTTTAAGGTACAATGTAAAAAATTTTATAATTACGGGTACAAAGTGAAATTATTGTAATAATTTAAGGGAGTAAAATGTAATTTATGCTAAATTCTATTTCTATTTATGTATAGTAATATGTCATATTTAATACTATTTATATATAGTAGTCATCCACGTCATCAGACACGGACACCGTACTTATGACATTTTAAATACATGCCCCATGCACTTCTCACAAAAAAGAATTGTTACCAATGTCATTGATGTATGTGTATTCTTGAAAATTGACAAAACCTTGAACGCCAGCTGGTTCAATTTTTCAGCTTGTTGAGTCATTGTTGCAGGGGTTGGTGCTATTATTCTTTCCTCCAAGTCCTTCAAAAGGGAGGCTTTGTGTAGCCGTGATGCTAATAGGAATTGGGCAAGCAGGACGGAAACCATCTTTACAAGCATTCCTTGCTGATCAATTGAAGAAGAGGGTCCAATGTCTGAGCCAAGCTGATCAAGAAGTGAAGGACCTTATAAGACATTGGTGGCGGTTTTTTCGCTTTTGGGGTGCTACTGCTGCATTTCTGGTCGCCGGATTTAGTGGTTCTTGGCCGATTAGGCTCACAGTTTCAGCGTGCGTGATGGGAGTTACTTTTATATTGCTTTTGTTGGGTATCCACCACTACCATTATGAACCACCAATAGGTAGCCCGCTTTCGCTTCGGCTTATCAAAATATTTCGCAAAGTGAAGGTTGTTATATTTAACAAGCATCTCCCCCACCCACCAACTCATGACTATGAGACTGGGGAGAATGATCGGGAAGAAAAAACACCGGCCCGTGAAATTCCATTGAACAGGTCCCTCTTCCATCCCTTTTTTAGTGACTTTATCGTTATTATTTATTAAGGTAGGGGTAATTCGGACCTGAACACATGGTGAAACGTAAATAAGAAGTTACATAATTTGGATAGAATTCAATACGAATAGTTTGAGAGGGTTATTGATAATCGTTACATGAGTTTATTTAAGACCATCGGGTGAACTTATTAAAGTCTATTTATTTTATATAATATATTATATTATAATATATTACTAGTTATTTTTCATGCATGAAGACACGACGTAATAAAAAAAATATTCAATAATAAACATATTTATATTCACACCTAAAATCAAATTACAAAGATAAAAAAGGAAAAAAGGAATTTAAGCACCACCTATAGTGTGGCGAGCGGTGGTAATAATGGTGGGTGGCAGTGGAAGACAATGATGGTTGTGATGGTAGCAGCCTTGGGTGGACATGGTGATGATGGTGATGGTGGTGATGAGGTGGTGGTGGTAGGGGTGATAGTGGGAGAGTAGCGATGGTGGTAAGGTGGCGATAGTGGTGGCGGATGTGATGGTTGTGGGGATGGTGGTGGTGGGGGCAATAGTAAGGTGGCGACAGTGGTGATGACAACAACAGTAGTGGTAAGAAGACAATGGTGGTGGTTGTTGTGGAAGAGGTAGTGGTGGTGTTGGGGCAATAGAAAGTGGTGGTGGTTGTGGGGTGGCGACAGTGGCAGTTGTGGCGGGGTGCCGATAGTGGTGGTAGTGGTAGTGGTAGTGGTGTGGTGGCCGCTGTCATGTTAGAGGTGGTGGCGTGGTGGCAACGACGATAATGGTGGTGGTGGTGGTAGGGAGTTAGTGATGGAGGTTGGGGTTTGGTCGGTTCCAAACACTATTTTTTTTAAAAAAAAAAAGTATTTACGAGAAGTTATAAGTTTTAGAAATATTTTTTAAAAATCAACCCAAACACACCCTTAAGGACTTTTTTTTCTATTAAATTTGGGGTGTTAATATTAACCGTTGGATTAACTTTAAAATAAAATTTAAAGAGATCTCAACCGCGAAAAACAAAAATCATTTTGTGTATCTTTTGAGATTTGAATTGTATTATACTTTATTATATAGACTAATTATTACTTGTGCCTGAAGGCACAGAGTAATAAAAAATAGTAAATAATAAACATATTTATATTCATATCCAAAATTAAATCACAAACATAGAAAATAGATAAAAAAATTAAGCATCAGTTTGTAGTGGAGGGTAAGAGGTGGTGGCGGCAGTAGTAGTGGTAGAAGACGGTGATGATTGTGATGGGTGGCAATGATCGTGGTGGTGGCAAGGGCGGTGATGGTGGTGGTGGGGGTGACGGCGGTGGCAATGGAGGCTGGGGTGGTGGTGGCGGTGGAGGTGGTGGCAGCGATGGCGACAGTAGTGATGGTGGTGGCGGGGGCGGTGGGGATGGTGGAGTTGATGGTGGTGGTGATGGCGGTGGCGACGACGACGGGGGTGGTGGTGATGGCAATAGGGGTGGTGACGATGGTAGTGGTGGCGGCCGCGCTAGCGGTGGTGGTAGTGGTGGTGGCGGCGGTGGGGGTGACGGTGGGGGTGGTGGCAGTAGAGATAGTGGTGGGGTAGTTTCAAACACTATTTTTATGTTTAAAATTTTTATGAGAAATAATTTCTAAAAACACTTTTAAAAAGTCACTTCAAACACATCTTTAGGAACCTATTTTTCCTATTAAATCTAGGGTGTTAATATTAACCGTTAAATTTATTTTAAAGTAAAATTTAAAGTGATCTCAACCGCAAATAGTAAAAGTCATTTTATTTATCTTGTGAAATTTAAATTGTAAGCTACTTTATTATATATAATATTGAGTAAATTTCACAAAATCTATAATATTTGATTTCATTAGATGCACACCCCCTCGCATGAGAAGTATAGCTAAGAACGCGATTGTTAGATAGTGATGAGGAAAAAATCAACTTAGTAAATAAACAGTATGGGAAAAGCTCTAACACAAAGATTCTCACACAAAGAGCTCTGGTGAAAGAGTTGAAGACCTCCACTGTGAAAGGGAAGGCGATAAACCTGGCTTAGTAATCAGCTCCATGCCACTTAGATGAGGAGTAAATATTAAATGTAATAGTGATATCATGTCACCATTGATGACATGATATTACCAACTAATAATAAAATCTCAAATGAGAAAGGTGAACTCCACTTGGGCTTATATGGAAGGAGAGTGAAAAGTTATTTGCTTACATGACATGTTAGTTATTAATTTTTGTAGGGTCCATCTGTTTATTTGTTTTAGTATTATTGGTTGGCGATACCACATCACCTTACCACGTGATATCACTGTTTTAATGTATATTTTCTCATAGATGAGCTATGACGAAGGATAAGGTAGGGACACTGTAAGTAATTCAAAATCAAAAACGATAAAGACGAATCCCTTCGAGGAGAAGATAAGGGAGTCAAGACCCCCCACTGAGGAGAAGCCTAACCCTCCTAACTAATGGATGAGAGAGTCAAAGATTCCTCCCTCAGAAAGAGTCCTCTACTCCTAGCCAGCTGATAAGGGAGCCTAAAGTTCACTTCCAAGAAGAATTGTATCCTCCTAGTCCCACAAAGATGTTAATCCCCATGCCAATAAAAACAGCTCAGACGGAAGCATAAGAGGTACACAACAGTCCAAAGTCACTTTCCATATCTCATACCAAAATACTGACTTTGGATGGTTGACACCAAGAGCTCATCCTCTAGTCTCCTACTTCTTTTTCTGGTGATCAGAGTCAGGCAAGCTAACTTGAGGTTGCTAAAAAATTACAACCATCTCAAGAGTAGCTGGAAGTAGATTCTTTTCATTCCCATAACCTCCCAGAGTAGGAAATTATAAATGGTGACCACTAGGCTAATGGAGGCTACTAGAGATAACATCCCAGAGAACAACATTCTCAAGAGTAACTAGAAGAAGATAATCATGACAGAGATCCCTCTAGGGTCAACAAGTGGCAGAAGGCCTGGAAAATGCTTATTCTAGAAAGAAACTATGATAGAATGAATCAAACCATAGAGGGTTTGGCCCAAAAAAACTCAGCAAATTATCTAGATGCTTGCTAGCCAACCTCTAGAGCAGATGTCCCATTCTAGGGAAACCCAACGTAATTAGGAGAGAGACACCAGAGATGGACCAAAATTTTAGGGAAATGAATGGTTGCATTGGAGATATACTCATTACAGTGAAAGCCAGAGTCCCTATAGTAGTGGAAACCCTACTCCCATTTTTTGCATGATGTAACACATTGCCCTTTGCCCCCCAAATTCAAACTACCCACAATAAACAACTTTGATGGAAAGAAACACCCTATGGATCACCTAAAGACTTATAAGACTCTTTGGCCATCCATAACATCCAGATTATATCATGTGTTGAGCATTTCTCACTACATTGAATAGAGTAGTTCGCCTATGGTTCAACAAACTCCCCTCTTTAGGTTCCATTGACTCGTTCGTCTGATTGAATAAATATTTCCAATCTCACTTCATGGGAGGATGAGCTCATAGAAAACCATAAACTTACCAGCTAAATCTAAAGAAGGGGATGGAAGTGTCGCTTTGTGATTTCATGGCATGTTTCATTAAAAAATCTCTGCAAATCAAAAACATGGATGACAAGGTAACCTTAACTGCCTTCATGTAAGGACTTCATCCCTCTGGGATCTTGTTTTCATTTTTTTTAGGTAAATTAGGCTCTTGTTTTCATTATCCAAAGCTTCTCCTATAAGTATTACGGAGTTCTTATCAAGAGCTTAGGTTCATTTGAAATCGGAGGATGCCTTGAATGCTCGAAAGGAAGGAGAATATTATTTCTTGGACAACATAGGAAGGATCAAATATAGAAGTTAGATAAAGCTATTGCTTCAAATAGAAGACTACCTAAATGTGTGTCAGCCAATGAGAGGTTGGAACCTCATTTGCAACTCGGCAAATTCCAGGGGTGTACCCCATTAAAACACTGTAATAGTGCAAGTCCTTTTATAGGTATAGAATGAAAACATTTTGAAATGACCAGGAAGACTGAGAACACCACCCCCACAAGGGAGCAAGAGACAAGTATTGCATTTTTCACCAAAATAATGGACATGACACTAACAATTGGGTCACCTTGAAAGATCAAAATATAAGACATGATCTAAATAGGCTACTTTAGAAGGTTTGTAGACTGAAATAAGAGGGAAGACAAAGGTACGTGCCCTGGAAACTAGGATCCAAGAGATAAGGAGCGCTAGTAGCCCTTAGGAGAAATAAAGGTGATCTCATAGGGGTTGGTATCTGGAGGAGAAAATAGTTCTTTGTGACTAGCTTATGCACGAAGAGCTCGTGCAAACCTGGTTCCTGAAGAGATCATTCTGGTACCCATTAGGAGAGCTAGTAGCTACACTAGTGGACAAAGAAGGAAGAAAAACATATAAGTTTTTCACACTCATTGCTTACTTATCTGATTAATGGGACCTAGATGAGTATTTATTAACATTAATGTTGACTGTTGTCTCCAAAAAAGTGTAACAAGGACCTCTTCACCACTTCCCTTTCCTTTATCGTGGAAGCAACCAAAAGTCTCACCCTGACAATGGTCACTACGAATGAAAGGCTCCTTCTTTTTAGCATAACATTGACTTTTAACATCTGACCTATATTGATGGTGCATGAATAAAGAATTTCTATTAAGTGTGAGCTCGGGAGGCGAGGTCGGATAATGAGCTCAGAGCTATGAAGTCTAAGTCCCGAGCTCATCTCCTATGGAAATTCATGGGAGTCAAGGAAAGAACAGTTGTGTAACAAGAGACGTACGCAAAAAACAAAGGGGGGAGTGATCAAGGTGAGAAACTCTTAACCACCCAAGATCTCCTCCTACAATCAAGGAAAATCCCGTATTCGAAGAACAAGTATCTCGCCGAAGATCCCTTAATAATACAAATTGCTCAATAAATATTGTAGAACCCCTCCACTGAGAGGAGAGACAAAAAGAGAGAAAAGAAAAAAAAAGAAAAAAAACCTCTAGATTCACTG